TTGTCAAACTATGCTGAAAGGTTGTCTTTTGTGATAATTGAATTAATAAATGCCATTTTATTTGCATAATCCTAGGCACTTAATTGGTACTAAGTACATGATAGTTTTAGAAGCACCTGCTCTACAGTTTCCACTACACTCATTGCCATCCCCATTCCACCAGCACCATTATCCTCATTATTATCATCATCACTAACAATGCCATCATTATCACAAACACTGCAAGTCATCACACTATCCACCCCTGCCTACCTCCAATAGCACTGTTGCCCTCATTACTTTAACCCTAGTAAGAGCGCCATATTCATGCTCAATAATTCCCAGCCCAGCACCATCAGCAAACAACAAAATCATCATAAACCCAAATAAATATATCAATGTAGGGGAAAGTAATTCTAGCCAAGTAATGTGAACCCTCTGTAGAACTTCTTATTGCTTTTGTTTAGTCCTTACATATGTTAGTATAGAGTTTTGACTAATTTCATGGACTTTTTCTTAGTAGGCATACATTATATCATAGTAAAATATGAAATTAAATGAAGAAATAGAAAAACATTAAAACTTGATATTCATGTCTGTCATTTGATTCATATAAATCCTTAGAAAATAAGGATAAACACTATTCTGGATGAACACAGCACCATTTGACCTAGAAGATCATGAAACTAAAAGAACTGTTTAGCACAATGATAGATGACAGTTAGATAGACCCGTGTGTGTGTATTGATGTCATGTCTGTATGCACATGTATTCCATGTCTCATGTCTCGAAGGTTCATACTTGTAGAAAGTATACTTTGTATCCTTATTCATTTGCGGGAGTTCTTCATGGAGTTTATATGGATGGATCTCAACTTTAGTGCCTCAGATTTAAGAGATTCAGGTTTCTATGACTTGGTGTCAGTGCTGTGAGAATTAGGAGCTTCTATTTTAGAAAAATATGTTATTAGCATATATCATTGTAAAAAGTGAAGTGGTTCATTATGGTATTTCGATATATGCATATAGAGTGTATTTATTCTCACCCTTTGAATTCAAAATACAAGAGCAAAGAAATGAAACTTGTTGGAGAATTGTTTATACATTTAACATGATGCCTTCTTTAAAATAACATGTTTAATAATTGAGAATTTTTATTAGTTAACTTATTTCCTTTTATCCTCTCATTCCTGTCCTTCCATTATGATACTCTTTCCTCCCTCCCCTCATCTTCCACTTCTATTCTCCTCCGAGAAGGGAAGAACTCCCATGTTTATTAACCCAGCTTGGCATATCAAGTTGAAGTAGGACTAGGCTTATCATCTACTACTGAGGCTAGACAAGGCAACCAAGTAAGGGAAAATAATCTAGTCAGGGAACAGAGTCAGAGACAGTCCTTGATCTAGTTTCTATGGGTCCCACATGAAGACCAAGCTATACACCTGTTATTTATATAGGGGTCTTAGGTATATCCTATGAAGACTCTTTTGGTTGATGGTTCAGTCTCTGTGACCCTTATGGGTCAATGTTAGTTGATTCTATAGGTTTCCTAGTGGTGTCTTTAACCTTTCTAGCTCATTCGTTTCTTCTTTTCTCTCTACCTCAAGATTCCCTGAATGGCTGTGGATCTCTGCATCTGTTTCTATCAGCTGCTGGTGAAGCCTTCAGAGGACAGTGATCCTAGGCACCTGTCTGCAAGTATAGCAGAATATAATTATTAATGTCAAAGTAGTCTCTCTCTCTCTCTCTCTCTCTCTCTCTCTCTCTCTCTCTCTCTCTCGGGATGGGTCTCAAGATGAGATAGTTAGTCATTGGTTGGACATTCCCTCAACTTCTGCTGCATCTTTACTTCTATGCATCTTATAGTCAGGATCAAAGGTTTTTGTCCTTATCCCTGCATTGGAATCTTGCCTGGTTACAGGGAATGTCTATTTCATGTTGCATATCCCCTGTTGCTAAGGGTCTTAGGTAGGATCACCCTCAAGGATTCCTGGGAGTTTCCCTTGTCCTGGGTTTCTAGCTCTTTCAGAGATGCCTCCCCTTTGATTTTATTTCTCTCTTCCCTCATCTGCTACCCATTCCTTACATTTTTATCCTGAACTTTCCACCACCCTGAACCCTCACTCTGTCCACCCCCAATATCTAATTTATGTCTCCTTCTTGGTGAGATTCAAATATTCATCCTTGGGCCCTAGTTGTTACTTAGCTTCATTTTATCCAATGCATTTTGATAATATTGCCTGAAGAGTTTACCAAAATAGGTCTTTATTCGTCTATTGTGTCTTTTTGTCTTTCCCCCCAAATTTTGATTGTTTTATATTTGCCTCTCCTTGACCCCCTAAATTTCAGTTTTTTTAGTCCAAATACTCTAGACAGTGGAGTCTACACAGGTGTGTGGTCAACATATCAAGTATCACATCATGGAAGAAAACATTTTTCTTTTTTCAGAACTCTTTTGTTGTCCCATTTAGCAGGTTCTAGGTCCTCGAATTCTGCTCTTTGGTTTAATATCTGACAACTTCCTGGGACACATTATTACAAGAAGTTATAATGGCAGTAGCTACTGTCATCACTGAGATAACTTGTTTTTTTAGAATTTAAACTTCCTTTAAAGATGTCATTTTCGCCTACTGCCATTACACTGTCCTTTTGAATAAAATCATTTCTCATTGAAAATGTGAAGAAAAAGGGAAGATTTCCTAGGTTAATGAATCAAAATAGAAGAGAAAGTGAGGAAGTCCTGAGGAAGAATTGGGATTGATAAATTCTGATATTCCATAAATGTGAGATTAATTTTCTGTGGAGATAATTTGTGAAAGATCTATCATATAATTCCTTTCAGATCCTGATACTTCAGCACAATGCATTACCAACAGCACCAGTGCAAGCAGCCCTACCAGCCTTCTCCTATATGTCACCCCTGATGTGTCCAAAGTCCTGTCCTCACTCAAAGTGTTTGAAACAGTCAAGAATTAGACAAACTGGGGCTGGAGAGATGGCTCAGTGGTTAAGAGCACTGACTGCACTTCCAGAGGTCCTGAGTTCAAATCCCAGCAACCACATGGTGGCTCACAAACATCTGTAATGAGATCTGATGCCTTCTTCTGGTGTGTCTGAAGACAGCTACAGTATATTCATATATAATAAATAAGTAAATCTTTAAAAAAAGAATTAGAAAAACTCCAAGTTTTAAATTTATTTTGTCAGTTTTTATGAAGCAGAGATTTAATAATAAACCTTAGAAAACTAGGAAGTGATATATGTAGCTACATGGCAAATTAAAATATAAAATTCTCTCTCTCTCTCTCTCTCTCTCTCTCTCTCTCTCTCTCTCTCTCTCGTGTGTGTGTGTGTGTGTGTGTGTGTTGTATTTAAAAATTTCAGTGTACAGTTTTCTTTGGAAGTTCTCAGAGAAACTGGATGTGTACTATATTTGCTCTCAACAATTTGTCACGTGAGTTGTGAGTGATTGTGGATCTTCATGCTAGACACCTAAGCATAACTTACTTAGGACAGGTGGGATTTTAGTTCCTCTCCTGTCATAATAAGCAGTCTTGTGGTCATCTTCAGAGGTGAGTCCATATATATATATATATATATATATATATATATATATATATATATATA